ATAAAGGTTGTGCATACCACGAACGTTTCTGATGTAACGTGGAATAAATCGGGGGCACACTTTATAAAAATTAATATTGATGGCTGCTGGAATCCCTTATTTTCTAGTGTAGGAGGTGTTTGTATAGATTTTTTGGGCTCTATTAATTGTTGGTTTTTGGTTGGTGCTTTCTCTACATCCCCTCTTGTAGCTGAAACTGATGCATTAATTTTTGCTCTACAAGTGGCTGTGAAGTTTGGTTGGAAGTACATTATTATTGAAACCGACTTTTTGGTTCTTTGGAAGTGTTGTCAATTGCAGATTGATCATCATTGGAGCATCAATATTCAGATGAAGAAGATTTTTGCACTTTCCAAGAATTTGATTAGCAAGTAGTCTCATATTAGGAGAGAAGGAAATATGGTTGCTCATTGAGCGGCTAAAACTGACTTGAAGATGCATGCGCTATGATTTCTAAGTGTGTTCCTCCTATTCTGATGGATTTAACTTTGAAAGATATTGTTTGTTAGCTTTTATTTTTATATTGTGTTTTGTTTTTTATTTTCTGTATTTTTTCTTTTGGGAAGAGGTCCTCAAGTTTTTTAGCTTTTTTGTTTTATTTAGTGTGTTGTATTGGGAGTGTTTTAAGTCCTTTTCCTCTTTCTTATAACTCTTTTTTTGTGATAAATGCATAAGGAACTGAATAATACTCTTTCACTAGAAAAAAATTAATATAAGTTAAGTACAATTAATAAAAAATATAAAAAAATCAAATATGAACATGCATATGAAAGCTTGGCTTGAGCGCAAGTTGAACATAAAGAACTTATAATATGACCAAGTCAAGTATATTTCACTATATGCTTGGCTTGACACAGGTCAATTACAGGGAAAACTATTACATACGGTGAGCCGCACATTCAGAAAATGATTATGATCCGATCATATCATCGTGCATTTCACATGGTCAGATCGTCATTGATGTTCGGATGTGCAGACACCAAACATAACAAGTTCTCCAATTGCAATACTATGCAGAACCTTATTTTTATGCAGTGTTAACAAAAGTTACAATGATAGAAAAATGAAGCACGAAAATGCTTAGAGGCTCACAAACAGTTCAATGGGGTTTTAGAGCAAGGAAGGCAGTGAAGATGCTGAATATGCAATTCAAATTCATGGAAAAAAGAAGGATTTCAAGAAGAAGGGATAAGACCATAAAAGCTACATAAAAATAAAGGGGGATTGGATTCACATACATAGCACTCAAAACATTTCTATATTACGAATTTCACACATAAACTTGTCTATTTATACTTAAAACATCCAAAACATTAAATTTCTCAAAAATTACATTTTTTTTTTGTCACAAGTAACTAACGCTGCCAATGCCTATGTTGTTCTACCATTGTTCTATTCCAATAAACTGTTGGAGCTCGTGAAGGAGAGAGAAAGAGAACAACAAGCCGTCGGCATCGAAGACGCAGTAGACAAAATTTGTCTATTTAAATACATGAAAATGTAACCACATTACGTAAAGAAATTTTTCTTTACATGACATTGCAATAACCCAACACCTTACCTTCATAGCTTTCATAGAAAATGTAGTACACTTGATAATAACTATATTTATATATTTCAGTTTTATCCATCATATGGGCATACTAAGAATAGTTATAATTTAACACATCCATGTGCCTTATCATATGATAAGTGAAGAGTATATATTACCAGCAATATTAGACTGCAAGATTATAATTAAAATTTGCCACATTTCATATTTTTTGATCCTATTTTCACTAAATCTGATTGATTATAAGTTAATAAAATCATGAAATGTGTTTTTTGGTAGACTAACCCTTCGAGAAAGTACATGGAATCATTTATACATGTGCTGCTATTTACAGGATTAGCCTCAACACCTAGATATGCCATCACTTTTATTTTTATTTGCATCTATACCGACCATTGCAAATACTCCACCAGCGTTACAAATACTTACAAAAGGTGAGTTTGTGCTCAGAGTTTCAAATTCACCACAAATTCACCAACACCACAAATTCACCACAATCAAATAAATAATACCATCGCCTCCATCACCAACTATTGCAAATACTCCAGAAGCGTTACAAATACTAAGAAAAGTTGAGTTGGTGCTCGGAGTTTCAAATTCACCACAATCAAATAAATAATATCATCGCCTCCATCACCATCATAAAAAACCAACACTGCCATTAAAAAAAATCCAACAGAGATAACAACATCCAACATGAACGATAAACCAAAATGAAGTACGCGAGAAAGGATCGAGAATGTGATACCAAAGTCTGGAACGAGAGATAGGGCAGACGAGGAAGCGATAGATCACAGAGGAAGCCATATATCACACCTTAAGTTAGAACCGACGACGAAGCAAGAGATCACATAGGGGCACCCACAATAATAAATAAAATAAGAAACTCGGGCCAAGGTGTCGAACAACCCGCATTTTACTGGCCCTGCGACGCGCCCGAGCCGCCGCCCCAAACAACACTAAACAACGGTGCAAAGCCACGCGCGGCCACAACGCTGCCCCAAACAGAGCCTTAAACTTATTACATCAACTCTACAAAAGTAGAGATTTTGCAAATAGGGTTGATGTTGGACAAGAATAGCCAGTTTCGAGATCTACTTCCTTGCAGCGTTTGTTAGCTCTGTAATAAAAGCTCTGAGAAGACGATGAGGCGAGAGTAACGACTATGGAGTTAGACGGCAAAGAAGAGATTGTTGGAAAGTTGATTGGAAGCCAGAACTGACAAAGAAAATAGCATGGTCTGTTAGTTCCTGCAAGCCCGACAATGGTGCCCTCTCTCTTCTGTTCGAGTAGTTCTGCCACCAAATGACACCACAAAATAACAGATACGATCAGAGCCCTCTGATCGGGTGGTTGTCACCAAATGACATCATCATTTATATTATGATTACCGTCGCAACTCGTATGTTCCCCAATGATTTTCTATCTTTTGAATTGTGAATCATAAGGGTATAAATGATTGGCACAAAACCTTCTGTTAATTAAGGTCGACTTAAATTTATCTCATTAGACAAGCATCCACCCTAGATCTATAAAGATCATTGGACGACACAACTCATGAATGCAGACAAGGATTCATCTAGTAAGTTGGGTCGACTACCTAGTTTAACTAAATAGATCAAGGACCGCGACGATCCGAGATGACAAAATCATAGATCTTGATCGAGTTTTGTCTTCATCCCCCCACCATATACTTTAAGATTTAAGTGATAAATTTTATAGCATAAAATCCTAAATCTTTTGCGATTATATGTTGAATACTCATTTATTAAAGACTCGCCTTAATCGAAATTGCTCTCTCATTATCGGGAGACGTAATTAACCATAGGGGCTTGCGTCTATGGGAAACCTCAAACCCTAGATCAAAAAATTCTTTCTAAGTGAGAACAAAATCCCCGGGTAGTGTTATTTATAATCTAATCTTCCTTTTGAAACCCTCCTAAGCTCTCTCTCAAAACAAAAAAAATAAAATTAAGCACAGACAATTTTCAGGGAGCGGTCGTTAAGTTTTAGAGTCCACACACATCTTCTAGCATTATTCTAAATCTTCTAAAAGAGTGCATGCCCTGAACCCCCTAACATGCTATAGCCCTAAGTGGAACATAAAGGACTTCAAGGCCTTATTCTCCAAAATTTGGCTTGGTTGATGCCTTCCTTTGGATCTCAACCTCAAGACACCTTCTCACAATATTACAAGAGGAAACCCTACTTTAGAAGAATCTTATTGTCATAAGTGGAAACCTTGGATCACCACACTTGTGGTTAAACAAACTTTAATCTAGTTATTGTAGGAGAGTATAATATTGTGGGAATAAGACTTGAGGTATTTGAAGAAACTCACATGTAAGGTGGATGGAAAAAGAGGAGGTTGACCCAGACTTGCGGGAAGACTAAGTTTTAGAGCTGTTTAGGGTGGATGCAACTTTTCAAAAAAGTGATTGTAAAGCTGTGATGAAGAAAGTAACTTTGTTAAAAAATGTGAAAATTATAAATAGATACTTTCTTTTACCAAAAAATCAAACATTGCTTTTTTTTATGGCTGCCACACTTTAAAAAGTTAGGCTAAAAAAAGCTTCATACTACAAATATTTATTAAAAACAATTCTCCTAACAAAATTATGGTGACGGTTTGAAACACAGTATGAAAAAAGCTATCCCAAATAGACTGTATAGAGTTCCCGCTTTGGATTTCAAATTATAGTTGTTGCATGGAGGTGATTTTAAAGCATGTTTTCACTTGAAAGAGTTTGGAAGATATTAAAAGATGTGATCTGGAATAGTTGATATGTATCCAAAAAATTTAGAGTCATATATGCAGAGAAAAATGAAAACTAAATTTAAGATAATTCAGTTCGGTTTTAAGGGACTAACAAATGACACGGGGGAGTAGCGTATGCACAATAAAGGCTTGCAGATGTATGGCAGATTTGTGGAGGTCAAATTAGAAAAAATTTTCGTGGTTCCAATAGATTTAGAGGGTGAAGCAAAGGGAAGAGCCAAAATTAGGTCACCAATAACATTTTCATTGCTCATAATAAAATTTTCCACTTTATGTTGCTGCTAAAGTGACTATAAAATAGAATAAAAATTTTATAAGAACATATGAGAAAACATGGCAAGAGTTAGCATGAGATCAGAAAAGAAATCAACAAGAAAAAAAGAGGTACTAAACCTTCCCATCCAGTAAATCCAAGCCTATGCCCACAATCACAGAAATTTAAATTATCAACAATTCATAAACCATGATAATGGGTAACAAAAGAGCAAAAAGTTTACTCCAAGGATTCATATTAAGGCTGCTGTAAGCCCAATTCTTCCAGTTGCAGCCTCAATACCTTCATGTTATAAGGGATAAAATTTGAGAAGAAATGAAATTTCCCAAACATGCGTTCACCAGAACAACAACAAATCTTATGAGAGAGCTGTCATATCAAAAACAGAACTTTCTTAGAATATTATTTCTTGTCATTTTCGAGCTCATTGTGAAAGGGCGAAAACCTTTTATTGCATATGAACAAATCAGAAATATGTAATCAGAATCCTAACAGAACAAAATGTGTCCAAATGCAGATAGGCACATTTGTTAATTGAAATCCTCAAAGAAAGAAAAAAACAGTAAGTGGGTTATTGTAGTCCACAGCCAAATGGCTCCCCGCCAAATACTTTTGAAAACTGAATGTAAGAGCAAAATAGCCTCCACAGCCTGATATTTCATGTGGAGAAATAAGTCCGAAATGAGACCCTGCTAACCCAAATAACAAAAATTAAATAAAGCTGAACACAAGCGAACAAATAAGAGGCCATTAGAAAATTTATTGGAGCAAATCCAAATTTTAACACATTTTCAAGCCTCAAAGCACCTTAGCATTCAAATGAAATAGAAAATTTTAGGAATAGCTTGACCTAAATCAAGAATCCAGATACATGAATGAAAACTTCTCGAGGTTATTTTAGGGGATACAAAATCCACTTAGTTTTGTATTTATATTCAAAAATAGCATCTTGATGAGAAAAAGCTGATGAGTCCATGATCGCATCATTTAAAACTCATTAAGGTTGTTTGATTTGCTGAAAAACTAACAAAATATAAAATGAATGCAATGCAGAAGTAATGTTTTGTATTTGAGACTTTAAGATATTTAAAAGTTATTTGATTCGGTGTAAAATAAATGAAAGACTTTTTTTTATTGTATTTGAAGTAAAATAAAAATAATATATTTCAAAAGTAATGCGCTTGACGGCGCCGGCAATTAGTAATGTGTGGCAGTGGCTACAAGCGGTAGTAGGGTGTGGCAGTGGCAAAGGGAAATGGCGTGGCAACTGAGCGCGGAAGTGACCAGCGAGTGAATTCTAAATTCATAGAAAATGAACTAATAGTCGAATTTCAAATACAAAGTTTTTTTAAAGTGTATATCACTCCATTGTTGCCGACCAAGCAACCCTAAAACACTGAGATACCCAAAAAAATATCAAATGATCAAGAGGGCTTTTGAAAACATTTCATGTAATATTCAAAAATTTGGTAGAAATGACTGAAACACCCCTTCTTAAAATATATAAATATATTATATTTCAATGCATTCAAGATAACTTTCAACAAAGAGAAATCTTGGGTTCTTTGAGAATTTCTGTTGAGAATTGAATATAGTTTAGGGTCATATTTGTAAATAGGAAATATAGAAAACGTCTAGAAATTTATTTGTAAAGAAAGTTGTAAAACTCTACATAAGCCCAAGTCTTTAATGAATAGAGGTGATTTTTCTTAAGCAATTATTTCTATTTGGTATTAGAGCTAAACCTAGACGACCGCCTGTGAGGACCGCGCATAGAGTCGAAGCTTCCAACCGTCAGGGGAAGATCACGACGTACAAGATTGCGGTTTCCAAAAATGCTAAATATCGTGGCCAGTAGAATCGTTGCTCCATCCACCGTCGATTGCTCAATCGAAGGCCCGAAACTCCCATTTTGCTCTTCCTTACACTTTGTCCTCGTGAAGCAATCTCAATTAGAACTAAATGGGAAGGCAACAACGAGATTGTGACATGACTCTCACGATATAGTCGCGATTAGAGCTAGCCGAGAAGGCAAAGACAAAATCATGAGAGCTAACTAGGAAGGCAAGGAAGAGCATGATCGCGTGCGCGAGCCAGTGGTGTGTAGCGGCTTCGACGTAGCCTATGGTTCTATGTGACTCTTGCGATGGAGGGGGTGTAGACGGCTGGCTTCGTACGCAAACAAAAGCGGAAGGAGCATGGCCGCAGATTGGTTTGCGAGTGTGTAGGATTTGGTGGGCCAATTTGCACTCGAGGCAGGAAGCAACAAGCGAAGCTTTGGCTCTTTAGGCTTCGACATAGCACCAAGGCAATTTCGTATGAGGATTTAGGCTTGATCCTTGTGATTGAGGATGTCAGAAGACGAAGATAGTGCAAGAGATGAAGGATTGAAACTTTTGGAGAAGATAAATCCAGAAGTTTTAAAGCTCTTGGTCGGGCTCAGACAGAGAGCTAGCGTCTCGACAGAGCCAATACCAATGCATGTACATTGACACAAGTGAAGCTTGATCTCCCTCCTGTGCATCTATAACTCGATGGACCAACCACGTATCAGAGTCAATCGCATCAAATCGAGGCTGCACTGGTAGGAAAGAGACTAGAGAGATATCTGACGGAGGTCGAGCCAAAGAGTAGTTGTGCTAAGGGGGATGAGTGGAGGATCACAAACGACTTATTTTATACCTAGCTACTCAACTCAATCGTTTAATCGATTGCCTCTTCTGTTGATGTAATTCGAAAGGTGAAGGACATAAGGCAAAGCTGGAGCGGACCTATGCTGGGACTGATAACCACATGAGCATGTTTCAGATTCAGCGTGACATAGAGGTAGCGAAACATGGTAATAGATTCATTCAAGAATACTACATAGAGCAGGAGCGGTTGTGGCAATATCTTGATCACTTTTCACTGATGTCGAGATGTGGTGATCCAGAATGCGAGAAGGAGATCTTTGCACAGATGAGGACTAAGCAATTTCTGCCTCATCTGAACCCGACCTTTAATCAAAAGAAAATTGTGCTCCTAGCCAATGCAACAATTCCTTCACTGGATGAGGTCATTGCTGAGATGATACAACAAGAGTTAAATGAGATTACTTTGAGCCGAGAGGGCAACTGTGGAAAAGTGAGACACTTGAGCAAGACTTGTCTAAAAACACCCAAGGAAAGAGGGATGGGTGGACGTGGAGAGTCTAGAGGTCATGGTCATAATCGTGGGGGCCAAACGAGTGGAAGGGGTGGCTACCAGGTAAATCTGATGGTAGGAGAGAACAATGAAAAGACAAGAGTGGTCTTTACCAATAAGAATTATGATTTACGAGAGATGTTGAAGAGGTAACAGAGAGCAACAGTTGATGTGACTGAGTATGCATCCACCTTATCGTTATCCAAAGAGAACACTGCTACTTATAATCACTCAGCCAAAGGTACTCATAATACAGATGCACTTGTCTTTATATCCAACACAAGATCACCAGAAGGAATAGTAGATTTCGGTTCATCTCGACATGAGACATGTACTGCTAGTGAATTCTCTTTCTATACTCACCTAACAGTTTCAGAGAGAATTCAAGTTGTTGATGATTCAACACAGCCTGTTATTAATAAGGGTACAATGAGGTGTACTAATTCTATAACTATGTCCAATGTTTTGCATGTTCTATCATTTTCATTAAACTTTTAATCAATTAGTGTCATTATACTCTAATTAAAATGTATTGTTTAATTTGATATTCCTAAGATGAACTTTCAAGAGAAGAGGATTGGCAGGAGACTTGGGACAGGCACGTGGCATAGTGTACTCCAAAACTTGGATAGAAAAGAGATGAGCTTGGTCTTGACATCCATGGTAAAGAGAACTAGGAGAAGTGTGGAGAATGTAGTGTTGCTACTTCACAGATACATGAGACACTCTATGTTTAGTCTATTTGAATTGTTTATATTCATCCTTATATAAAAAGACAAATAAATAAAAGATTGTGTGTGATTTTTGTGATTTTAATAAGCATATCAGAAGCTCTTAGGTTAGTATCGATAATATGTGCATTAAGATATATGACGACCTTATTCCACAACATCAACGAATGGTTAAAGAGATTTTGTGACTTTCATTGATTGTTTTTCTCATGTTGCTTGGTTAAATCTGATGAGAAACAAAAGTAATATGATTGGCTGCTTTAAAGAATTTCATGGGGCGATTCCGATTCAATACTATGTAGTAGTGAAGCTTTTGTGGTCTAAAAATGGAATAAAATATAATAACAAGACGTCTGGGGAATACCTCTCAGCTCAAGAGATACAACATCATACCAAATGTCCATACACACCAGCACAAAATGGAGCAGTAGAGAGGAATCATAGACACTCTATAAAGGCAGCTCAAAGTATGATGATCTCGATGAATGTCCCAAAGCACTTGTGAGCGTAAGTTGTTTTGACAACCACTCAATTGGTCAACAAAATGCCCTCAAGAGTTTTCGAGTGACAATCTCCTTGTGAATTGTTGAAAGGAGATAATGACAAGATTCTCCCGTTGATAATATTTGAATATGTATGTTTTGTGAAGGATAATAGAGCTATAAAGTGTGTTTTCGTAAGTTATTTTGCCACCCAAAAAATGTATGTTTGCTAGAGCCCAATATGGAAGAGACTATTTGTGAACATGAATGTAACTTTTTGAGAATTCGAACCGTACTACACCATGGAGGTAACCTCACCCATTGGAGACTCACTAAGAACTAGAGGTATGAGGCAAGAGGAGAATAATGATGGTCAGAGATTGGTACATGCGAGAAAACTGAGAAAGAGACGAATAATAATAAAAAAGAACTTGAAGGTGGTGGGATTCAAGCTCAAGGAAAGCTAAGGCTCCGTTTGGCGCGACTTTTTTGCAGCGTCGCGGCCACGGACCGCTATTTTCTATTTTCTTTTTTTGTTTGGCGCGACGGTGGCTGCCTGGCTTCGAGGAATCCGAGCGAAAGTTGGGCCGCCGGCAATAGCTAGCTGCGCGCTTTTTCGCTGGCGAATATTATCGCATTGCCCCTCCCGCATACCATTTCCACGAAACGTTTCTTGCCCTAGCCGCGCACCGCCCTCCTCCTGCGCGCCAAAAATCTTCCTTCAACCCCGTTTTCCTCCTTCAGAACTTCTTCGCTGCCTTCGACAACCCCGTTTTCCTTCTTCTTCTTCTTCTTCTTCTTCGGTTCAGAACTTCTTCGCTGCCTTCGACCGTCCCGTTCTTCTTCTTCTTCTTCGGAGATCTTGCCGTAATATTCCTTCTCTTTTTCGTCAAACGATGATCCTCCTTTACAGCTCCGATTCCTTCTTCCTCCCACGTTCCTGACCTCCTTTGGCTTCTTCGGCGATCTCACTGGTATATGAATTTATTTTTTTCCGTTAATTTCATTTTTTGCTTGTTTGTTTCAGAATGCCAAAATTTTATATGATTTTTTATGGTCGATATGCCAAAATTTTATATTTGATACAATATTATATGTTTATTAAAGTATTTTGAAATGTATTTGTCTGTTATATGTGAGGTATTTGCTGATATATGCCATTGGAGTTAAGCTTATTGGTTGATTCTACGGCACTTCTAATTTATAATTGAACGAATTTTAAATTTATTGTTGAACAAATTGTAAAAAACTGAAGCTAGATATGAGTGTGTTTATGAATCCAAACTAAATCAA